AACAAGTCTGAAATCCCTCTATAACAAAGATGCCAAAACCAGGGACCGCGGGACAACCATTGATTTTTTTTTATTATTATTTTTATTTTTTTGCATTGAAAAATGCCTTGATTTAATTTTTTTGATAAATAATAATAAAAATAATAATAATTATATGTATATATGTATATGTATGTATGTATATATATGTATGTGTGTGTGTGTTTAAAAATGTTTCCAATGTAATTTATTTTAATATAATATGTTTGGATATAATGCATTTTACTTTTGGCCCATGACCCTCAAGCAAGTTTGATTTTTGGCCCTTCATATTAAAAAATTTCGGCACCTCTGCTCTATGAATAAAAAGGTTTTTAACAGATACAATTGATAACGCTGAACAAGCAACTTTTGGCATACTATGTAGTGGAGAAGCAAGCATGTCCTCTCATTCAAATCATATCAAAAGGACCATTTTTCTACTAAATAATTTTTAAAGCGATAGTTCTCTCAAAAATGAAAATAACCCCATGATTTGCTAGGTGTATATCACTTTCTTCTTTCAGATGAATACAGTCGGAGTTATATTAAAAAAATGCCAGTTATAAAGCTTGGAGGAGCCAGGACATTTTTTTGAGAGGACATGCTTGCTTCTCCACTACATAGTATGCCAAAAGTTGCTTGTTCAGCGTTATCAATTGTATCTGTTAAAAACCTTTTTATTCATAGAGCAGAGGTGCCGAAATTTTTTAATATGAAGGGCCAAAAATCAAACTTGCTTGAGGGTCATGGGCCAAAAGTAAAATGCATTATATCCAAACATATTATATTAAAATAAATTACATTGGAAACATTGGAATGGGGGTCGAGATTTTGAAGCCCAAAAAAGTGCATCCATCCATCCATCATAAAAAGTTCCCCACACGGCTCTGGGGGGTTAATAAAGGCCTTCTGAAGTGAATCAATGCATTTGTGAAAGAAAAATATCCATAAAACTTTATAAACTGTAATCTCTAGCTTCCGCTAACTGTCGTACACGCATTCATGAGAGAGTGGCGTTCCAGCGGATGACATAGGCATAGCGCAAGTCATCAGTCTATATTTGTGAGGCTGATTTTGAGGGTTTACATTTTGTGTGTGTGTGTGTGTAAGTGTGCTGGATAGAGTCTAGTACACTGGAGACTAGCGTGACTAAGCCAGCTGGCATTATTTTGGCCGTCCCAAAGGTTTAACTCGCACACAACCCATCCTGCCCTCCTGATCTCCCTCCAGCTGATGCTTTGAATTTAATTGTAAAAGACAGACTGACTGTCCACTATTCTCAAACACTTGTTTGAGAGATAAAACCAGCTGATCATTCTTAATTCTTTAAGTGGTCTTTTTTTCATTTGACCTTTTTTTGTATAGTTCATCAGTTCATCACAAGCTCAGTGAAACCAGGAAAACGTAAGCATACACTGTTTGCTATTGGAAATTATAGAGTATTTATTAGAGCAGAGTTCAAAAATTAAACCTTTTTGAGGGCCGTGGGCCTAAAGTAAATCTTGCATTATATCCAACTGTATTATATTCAAATGTATTACTATTAAATTTTAAAAAATGGTAATATGAATGAATAATTTCTTCAATTTTAATAACTTTTTTAAATGATTATTACTTTGCTGATGAACTGATAAGTTGGATCAGTGTTAGATAAAACAATCCCAAATGAGCAGGGTTCCAGGAGCAGGACTGAGAAACACAATTACAGAGATCAAACCTGCACAGGTTTCGCAGTGAATAAATCCCAGGGTTTCATAAGTTATAATGTGATCTTAAATGACAGTTAAACATCTTATATAAGCTTTCAAGTTGCTCCCCAGACAGTTTCCCATACATCAGCGCTCTGTCCCTGATGATGGTCAGCAGCTTATGACAAATGACAGACAAAGACCAACGAGGCTATGTCCAGAATGGAATATTACTGTACTGTAAAAACTGCAGAAGATATGCCATACAATATATAGTTTTAATGGGAAATTCTTATATATATATAACAATATATCGTTTTAATGAAAAAATTATATATATATATATATATATATATATATATATATACTGAAGAAAAACAAACGTTATTCAAAAGTTTTGGGTTGGTAAGATTTAGTTAATGTTCGAGAGAAATCTCCTATGCTCACTAATAGTGCATTTTTTTAATAATAAATTTAGGCAAAATTGTAATATTGTGAAATATGATTAAAAATGTAAAATATATTTTAAAGTGTAATTTATTCTTGTGATGCAAAGCTGAATTTTCAGCATCATTACTCCAGTCTTCAGTGTCACATGATCCTTTAGAAATCTTTCTAAAATACTTTGTTGCTCAAGAAATTTATTTTTTATCAATGCTAAAAACAGTTGTGCTGCTTCATAGGTTTGTAGAAGCTGTGAAAAAAAAATGTTCACCAGATTCTTTGATGAATAGAAAGTTCAAAAGAACAGTATTTATTTTAAATAGAAATATCTTGTAATATAAATATCTTTCCTGTCACTTTTGATCAATTTAATGCATCTTTGTTGATAATAAGTATTAATAATTACTGACTCCTAATTTTGAATGGTAGTGTATATACTAATACTCAGCAAAAGGCTTTAAAAAAAAATGTTAACACCCACTTGTCATTTCAGAAATAAGTCATTCATGTTTGATGTTTTGGTGGTCTCCAAGGCCAAATTTGCATATTATAAAGTGTTTCCAGCTTTAGTATGTTAGAATGCCATTCTGAAGACCTGAGGTATGAACACTGTCTGCTTCTGCTATTAGTGAGGCTGAGGCTGAAAAGTTCTTATTCTAGAAACACTAAACCGTGTGAGAGAAAAAGATTTAGTAGATGATAAATCTCATTTTCACTCCAGCGCTTGGCTTCTCAAATAGCGAGCTCTTGTTTTTTTTTTACCCCTACAGTAAGGATTAGATGTCTTCTAGCCAGGAGAAGGAGACAGTCTGAGAGAGAGAGAGACAGAAAAAGAGACAAAGAACAAAGACAGATAGAGGCAAAGTGGCTGGAGATTATATACTATAATATGAGACTTGGATAAGTACATCCCAAATCATAGTCATTTGAAAATAGCACGCTAAATGGATACTATTTCCAGTGGGTTTTATTGACGTCTCAGTGGGGTTTTGAAGTTTGAAGTCTCACAGAAGACGTCAAGAGTGTCCATGACCTGATGCTTCTTTTTCAACTTAAATTTGAGATGAAAACTGTGAATGGATTTCTATTTCAAATAAATACTTTTCTTTTGAACTTTCTATTCATCAAAGAATCTGGTGAAAAAAAAAGTGTTTCACAGCTTCCACAAACATATTAAGCAGCACAACTGTTTTCAGCATTGATAAAAAATGTTTCTTGAGCTGCAAATCAGCATATTCTGAAGGATCATGTGACACTGAAGACTGGAGGAATGATGCTTAAAATTCAGCTTTGCCATCTAGGAATAAATTACATTTGAATATATATTCAAACAGAAAAATTGAAATAATATTTCACAATATTACGGGGTTTTTTTATACCATATTTATAATCAAATAAATGCAGCCTCAGTGAACATCAGAAACTCGCAAAAACATTAAAAACAAATTCACCAACCCCAAATTTGATTGGTGTGTATATTTATTTTATACATTTATATTTATTTAAAAATACTTTGACAAAAAGTCATTGATGATTTTAACAGAAATATGTTTTCTGAGACAGGAGCAGAAGACTAAGCTGTCACCAAACCCATCTGCCGTCTTTCAAAGCAAATCCAGGATCTTCAACATATGATCCATCAACGCTCCCCATATAAAGAGTCACATTCACATCTGATTCAGCCTTTCACTAGAAGAGGAGACTATTTTAAAAATGTATTGTCGAGAGACACCTGAATATTGAAAAACTGAAGTAATTCTGAGAGACTAGGATCGTCAGAGGAGAAGAATACCAGAGGATGAATAGAGACGGGTTCAATGCAAGAGCTTGTGAAAAGCAAAATCAGTCAAATGGAATTCTCTGAATCATTCCACTGAGGAATTTTTGCTGGAAATTTACACAATGTAAAATCTATGCAAGAGAATGTATGCTTCAAATGTCAACCATCTACTAGAAGGATATGTTTGTAATACACTTCAGATTTAAGAGTGATAGAAAGAGTGTGTGACTGGGAAAGTTTTCGGGCCTCAATTTCTGCTGAGCTTACCCTGTCCCAGCTGAATGAATATCTGCATGTTTCCTAATAGTTTTATGAACTGACTGAATATGCAACAGGTTTAAAAACATGTTTAAAAATTAACAAAATGTAATCTGGTGTCTTGGTGTGTTTATCCTGCACAATCTTAGTTAATGATATGATTTTGTATATAGTGATGTTGGGCTGCCAGTATTGATCTGTTAAAATCTGCCTGAGGATGCCGGGTGCTTCTAATCACCATTTTCATGCTCCAGACCCTGCTAGCCCTTTATGAAACCCATATAAAGACTAAAATATTATGAATCTTTCACTGTTACCGAATTGGGGGCTGTGCAAATATTTTGTAAATTCAGTTTAGAGATAAATGGGGAAAATCCTTAGGACAAACTGTTTCAATAAAAATGACACTCTTTAAATTTGCTTCCACATTATTTGACTAAGAGCTGATTAATCATTCTAAACATCTTACAAATAATTGTCTTGTAAGTTACCTTACAAAAAAACATTTGTGGACAATTTTGGGAAAATTCACTCAAAAACTGATCAGGAAAAAAAACAGTGCTAATTGAAAGAAAATAAAAGTTAATAAAAAGAATGAATCCAATCTTTGGTAATAGTATAGCATAACAAAACAAAAAAAACATTGTAAACAATTTTTGGTAGGCCGGTAAAAAAACCAAAAAGGAAATCTATTTCTGAGCCCTCGAAAGCCCCCTGAGCCCTATCTTGTTATTGTTTTGCTATGTGACATTTTAATTGTACTGCCAGTTGCAAAAAGAATAGAACAAATCAGGACAGCTGGATCCATCTTAGTGGGAGACTGACCGTTTTTAATACAAGAATAGCTATTTTGTGATACACAATATGAAAGAAAAACATTCAGGAGTTTGGTTAGACAAGTGAAGATTTTAACACTGAATAAACACACACAGTAATACATTCTCTCCCATCCACGCAAACACACCAGACACTGATGCTAGCTGTATGACACGAAGTAGCCCACCAAACCAGAGGACACAATAGTTTGTTTTAGCAAATACACAAATGCCTCCTGTCAATCTGCACATTTTCCTCAATGCCCCCAAATGACACACACAAAAAACTTCCACACTCACTGAAGTTGAATCCTTCATAAATCCCACAGCAGTACGAAAATGATTCATATGAAAACAACATGATTAAGACTTTTCTTAGACATTCTTTGCCCTAGTGTGAAGACTAGTGAAGACGTGCGACTCAAAATGGACATTTAATCTGAATGAGCCGATCAATTAAGACTTGTTAAAAAGATAATGAATGGATGATTTCACATATAACTAGTCAACTTCTCCGAACAAATCCTGCTCGATAATGCCATTTCAGAACAGAAAAACAGTACAGTTAACTGTTCAGTGGCTCATTTAATGTCTGTATTTCTGGTTCAAGAAATACCCCAAACTGAATTTCTGCCATTATTTACTCAACACCATTTCAAACAAAATGAAGGTGAGAAAATCATTCCAGAAAAGTAATTTTTGGGTGAACTATTCCTTTAAGACTAAGACAAGCAAAACAGCCGTCAACAGCAAAGCAGGGTCATGTGATCCTGGGTTTTCGTTTGCAGAGATTGAGGGTCACAATCAAAGTAGAATAATAGAGCAGATGCTTCTGCGTCTACTGTACCTGCTCATTAACACTGTACTGTAGTTATTGTACTGATGGTTGCATGTACTGGACCAGAGTTCATAAATATCACAGAATTCATAAAGGAAGCATGAAAATCAAATAAATAGACTGATGTAGCCATACGAAACAAATGCTGTTCAGACTGCGTATCAAGCTCTGTTTGGGTTTAGTACCCTCATATAAAACACAGCTGTTGTTGTAAAAATGGCTGGCTTCTATTATAACACCGGCAAGTAAGAGGGCATTTGCACCTGTGATTGGTCAGCCCTTGCACATTCTCCACCTTTACATAATGTGAGGGGGAGGAGTCAGTAAATGACAGTTCACCTGTCCTTCTGTGGTCAGGTGCCAAGGAGTGAAGTTAGTCAACATGGCCTTCATCCTTCACCATGATGCCCATGTACCTACCGGAGACAAGAGTTTATGGCGAGGTTTAAAATAAGTGAAACTGCAATAATAATGATGCATTTCCACGACATTTCAAAAGTTGGTTAAGATTTTTAAAGAAGAATTTGTAAAAATCATATTATAGATATTGCACCAAAAAGGGGTATTTAGAGCCAATTAAATATTTAAATGCTGAGCATAACTATTTGATAGAGACATTTTCGTGCCTTTTAATTTGATTTAATTGTTTCCATATGTTTCCAGGTTGTTCAAGACCATGGGAACTCTGATGATAGTTGCTGAAAAGCCTAAAATGAGGATGAGCAAAATTACCTATTAGTCAGAAAATCACAGGTGGGAATAGAGCTAATGGCCTGATGCATGTCCATAGCCGATATCTCTCTTGGAGTTCTGTGGAGACAAGAAGAGAGGGATGAAACAAGGATGGGAATGAGAGAGAAAAGTCTCACGGTACATTTGCTATCTTGCATTTGAGCATTAAATGTGTGTAAAAGTTTTGTCAAACTGCTGCTTTCTGTTCATGTATGAGACTTCGATCAGTTCCTGCTTGACTGATCATCATTTAAAACGGTGCTCTATTAAAAGGCAGTTACCGAATACTGTATAAAAGGCTGATGAAATATTCTGCTCAATCTGTCTTTAACTGAAAAATTAGTGTTTACTATTGTCATTTTGCATTATTGACACACTATTTTCCCAATAAATGCTGTTCAGTTGCTTTGACACAATCTGTATTGTTAAAAGCGCTATATAAATAAAGGTGACTTGACTTGACTCAATCTGTGTGTGTGTGTCAGGCGTGTGAATGAAAGCAGATGTGCTGAGTAAGTGGAGCAGGACTGAGCCAATCTCTTCTCTCTCAGGGCTGGGCTCTGCTGCTCTACATCTCAAATAAATCAGATGATCATGAGCTATTCTCAGTGCTCTGATAATTATATACTATCATAAAGCACTTCCTCCCACAATCACGATCAAATCACATTAGACAAAGTTCAATGCTCAGAGTTCTTCAAAACTGACCAAGAAATAATGTTCCAAGCTCCATCTGTAAAGAACAGTAGAGTGTTAGAAACTACTCTTTTACTCTGAATCATGCTGGTCTGCCCATCTGTCTTGATTAATCTTCTACTAGCATACAGGCTGATGCACTGACCTGTTTTGTTGGGATTTCCCATGGGCATTGGCCAAAGACTCCCTGAGGATTTCACTGGCAAACTGCTCCACAGCCTATGGAGAGATTTAGACAACATTCAGCACTTTGACATGTTAAGAAATTACATGTCCTACCCAGGACAAAAAAAAATTTGTTCTCACTGAAGGTAAAGAGAAAAATGAATCAGAACATATTTGATGCTTAATAAAGAGCTATGTGGAGTGGTATTTAAGACTAATCAGATTTTGGTGGGAGAGTGGGAGGGGCTATCATTCACCATGGTTAGAACAAAAATGTACAAGTTAGTAAATAGTGCAAAGGCCCGTTCACACCAAGAACTCTAACTATAATGATGACTACATTACGGTAAAACTTTATAGTTAACATTCTGGATGTGAAATTTTCTTTCATAAAATAAAACAAATTACTCAATCTCAGACTATTTACCTTAAGAATAATGGTCTCCACGACTGGAGCAAAAATGTTCTTCTCCACCTCCACCTGCTGCAGTGTGACGCCGATCTAACACACACACACACACACACACAATATCATTACTAGCACCCGACCGATATATCGTTTTGCCGAAATTATCGGCCGATATCAGCCTGTCGCAGACATATCGTGGATCGGCGTATATGCCGCCGATGTAAAAATGTTTTACAGAACATAAAACACAGATAAATTGCTTGTAAATAGTGTAATTACGTTTGTCCAGCAGAGTGCGCTCCATTGTTTGCTACTGGCAATCTGGATGAAATGTTTTAAAGCTTAAGTGTATGGAATAGGCTACCATTGAAAATTTGTCGATAGCCCCCAGGGTTCAGGAGTTATGGGCAGTTAAAGTCGCGGTTGCGCGCAGACCGATCCGGAGATCCTGGGGGGCTACCAACGCACGGAGGGCGGCGTTCGAGAAGGCTCCTCGAGCTGAAGGGATCCACCGAATTTGGTGGAGATCCGCCGCCGCGTTTACAAGATAGTAAACCAGCCAACCCTTTCACCTTCATTAAGGAGGTCTCTTGTTCAGGCAGCAGCATTCAAGCGGTGTCTTAACGGTAAATTGCTAAATAATTTGTGCAGTGGTGGCTTGAGTCTGTTGAATGGTGATTTAGTGCTACGTTGTCACCTAGATGGTGAGACGCAAAAGCAGCGGTTCTTAATCCTGTTCCTCGCAACCCCCCGCTCTGCACATTTTGTATGTTTCTCTTATCACTTCAGAGGTTTGTTCTATATTAAGTGCCCTGCGAAGTGGACTTCACTGGATATTCTGCCATGATTCCAGTTCAAAGGGAAAGTACATGTTACATTCAATGGGCATTAAAGTGAGCGAGACGTAAATTTAAATAGTATTTATTTACAGAGTTACATAATGTCACACTTCTAAGTTTCGTCTGCGTGTGAAGACAGTGGCGTAACGCAAATCCGTAAATGAATGTTCCGAAGTGAAATAAACTTCCAACGGAATAAAGTTTAATGGAATTGTATTGAAATAAAGTTCAATTTTACTGTTCAGTGCACTGATGTCAGACTCGTTTTGGATAATAAAGTGTATTGTTAAATTGTTATATACCCTGCCTCCATTACTTATCTTTGTCACGTCATTATCAGAGACTTTCATCATTATCAAGATGACTAAATACTTTTTTTCCCCACTGTATATATATTCTGTTTATGTGTATACTGCATTCTATATACAGTACCAGTCAAAAGTTTGGACACACGAATGGAAGAGTGTCCAAACTTTTGACTGGTACTGTACTATAATATACACAAAGAATATCGGCCGATATATCGATATCAGCCTTTTTACTCCCTAATATCGGCATCCGCCCTCAAAAAGCCCATATCGGTCGGGCTCTAATCATTACATGTATGACACAGCAGAAAGTGTGGAAGCAGGTAGGCAGACAGAAAGGACATTTCAATCTCTCTCACCTGCTCCGACGTGTCTCTGATGAACTGGGTTGATGGGCAGCGCCCCAAGAAGAACTTGGGTTCCTGTTCAGCCTCTTCCTGTTCCAGCTTAATCTTGACCTTGGCAGCATCTATGTCTTTCACACTGATGATGTCAAGAGGCTCGTCATCCTCGTCTTCAGGCTCCGCCTTCAGAATCCTCTGAAGTTGCTTCAGACGTTGAGACAACTCCTCACAGCCCGTCAGAGTTGAGCTGCACTCTAACACACACACACACAAACTATTTTTATTAATAATAATAGTGTTTGGAACAGAGCCATAGTGTAGAACAAAAGTATTATTTGTTTTTGGTAGGTTTGTGAAGCTCTGCTTCCTGCTTGTAAAGAGTTTGTGTGTGTGTAAAACAGCACACAACTCCTCACAAGCAGGAAGCAGAGCTTCACAAACCTACCAAAAACAAATAATACTTTTGTTCTACACTATGGCTCTGTTCCAAACACTATTATTATTATTAATAAAAATAGTTTGTGTTTTGCCTAATAATTACTAGAATAAAGTATTATTTTTTTTATTATTTTTATTATTATTAACAGTAGTTTGTATTTTGTCTAATAACTAGTATAATATCATTATTGGTTTATTTAGTGCCTAATAATTAATCAATTAATATTATTATTTAATAGTAGTTAATAATAATTATAATTAAACTATAAGAAACTTTACTCATTTAGTTATAATGATTAGTCTTAACACAAGCTTAATAATAATAATAATAATAACAACAACAATTTATAAAGTGCCTAATAATTATTATAATTGATTTATTATTTTTAATAGTTTGTATAGTGCCTTTTATAAACCTAATTTATAAAAAGAAAAATATTTATTATTTTTAATAGTTTGTATAGTGCCTTTTATAAACCTACACTGAACAACACAAAAAAGCAAACCAAGAAAGCGCATAAATCGAGGCAGAAGACAATAATGAAGGCAGGAGAAAACAGTACAACAAACAAGACTCCCTAGTGAACCTCCTCACTGCCTATGGTCTACACTGGATATTTTCTAAGGCAGCATGCTAACCGAAAATAAACCTCATTAGTGACATTCATAAACAACTAGGACTGGGCGATATGATGATATTATCGATATTAACAGTCAGGAAACAGACGATTATCGACATTATCAGAAAAAAATGACAAATGATAAACCTAGTAAGTTGCAAAAAATATTTTACATAGCCCCATAGACACCATACAGGTTTTTTTGCATGCAAGAATGAAATAATTTAGTAGGAGGGTTGGGAATCGAAAAGCTATTCCAATTTCGGAAATCAGATCAGATGCCTAAGGTCAGGAATCAAATTACTTGTTATAAAATTACATTTCGATTCTGCGTCTCGACTTCTGTATGCGCATTTATAGTGATTTCAACAGATTCAACTGCAAGAAGATGAAATAGAACTCACTTCTGCACTCGCACTCTGTTTTCTGTGCTGCACACACACAAAGCGCACGCACAAAAGCCACCTCTTAAATACGCAAACACTGGACTGAGCTCTCTTTCTCGTGTTCTTACACATTCGAATGGACAAATACACACAGAATTATATCAAAATATCCCATAAATACAATCAGTTATGTCTTAAGTAAACGTAAAGAGTTGAGAAAGAAAACACTGATCTTGACTGAATCACTTTTGTAACCTCAGTTTATATTTTATTTGCCTGTTGTTCGGCACTGACTACTGTACTGGCAACGTGCATCTGTGTATGTGATTATTTTGGAGATGAATTCCAATATAATTTATCCTTATTTAAGGTATAGGCCTATTCTAAGTGGAGGTGGGGCTTAGGTAGAGGATATTATCGGATATCACAATATTTTTAAAGGCAATTATCGATAAGATTTTTTTGACATATCGCCCAGCCCTATGAACAACATCTCCATTAGTGGTCACTCATTAAAACAAATACTGTAGATCACTGACAAGCTACGCAAAATCGCGTTCATAATCGGCAATGAATCGCCTTTGATTTTGAACGTGATATTGCATAGCTTGTCAGTGATCTATGGCTCTGTGTAGTAAATGCCGCTCCATCTGAACGCACGTGCTGGAGATTTACTACTAATCACAGAACCGGCTTTACTAATGAGATGCCAGGGCTCTACAGTGAGACCCTTTCAGTCACATTTGTGACTGAAAACTACTGCGTGCGACTATTAAATAATATTTAGGAGCACCTGTGCGACTGACTCGATCAGCATATTTGTGTTTGCACTCAGGGAGCTTCAAAGGTTCTAATATACGTACGTGTTTCTGCAGCGTTGAGTAATGTATCACAGACATATCCTCTCATTATAACAAACAAAGTGTTGACGGGGTGTAAATAAGATATTCATTGTGCAGTGTAGAGAGCTTCGTCGATTATAATGGAGTTTTGTGAGATCGGGATAAACTAAGATGAGTGACAGCTTGTAATGATTATTAAGGGAGTTTACAAATGTGATATTGATTTAATACAACAGTTCATTAAACAAGAAGTTAATATTAAGTGACTTATATTGTCTGACAACAACACAATTGCCTTATTTTGCTCTATTTCATCAACGAAAATAGTTTTTATAAAAAGTAACAGCTGAGCCGCTGCGCATCGCCATTCAAACACAGCGGTGATTTGTTTATGAATGAACTGTGTTTTTAAACGAATCTAGTGAGTCAATGATTCAATTACCCATTCATAAAGACAGTTACGTACTTCGTTCCTGAATACACATACAAGCCACTTGTGTGTTCTTTTGTGCCGTCTTTGTAGCACAAATTTATTTCTTAAATACTGGTTTCATTTGATTGGTAACTTATTCTTATTCTACTTCTTATTCTACTTGTTTTTATTCTGTTGTTTTAAGTAGAAATGTTAAAAAGCTTATAAATATATTTTTTATTTTGACATAAAAGATGACATACTTTTAATAAAGTTAGAAAAATGCCATTACAAAGGTAAAAACTAAATTCCCTATAAAATCACTTTAAGGAGTCAACTATCACCTCGTAATGGGAAGGTTAATTTTTTTATCAGAATTTTTGATTACTGATTAGAAGGTGCTCCTAAATTTTTGACTCTGCTCCTAATTTTTTTTAATTAGGAGCACAAGCGCTCCTAAAAAGAAAAGTATCCGTAGAGCCCTGGATGCGCATGAAAATCGCATTCGACTATTTGCACACCCCTTCGCTGAGGTGCACTAATGTCTCAGTCAATATCAATGGAGTATGACATCACCACTTAGCTGAGCTAATGTCGCAACACTCTATTGTGCTAACAGCTAAGCCTTATCCATGAAATCTATGATGCCTTAAAATGCTGTCTAGGTAGGAAACACCGTAGGGTTCGAAGCAGAGCTGATGTTGAATTTCAGCTGCTTATGTCCAAGTTGAATTCATGCCCAACTCTGAATACTTATTATCTCATAAATTTACAGACTAATGCACCATCACTGGAAACGAGAGAGAGAGAGAGAGAGAGAGAGAGAGAGAGAGAGAGAGAGAGAG